AACATCTATCGTAATACTATAAGAAAAGGATCGACAGTGGTGGGAATCTATGGGGGAGGGGACAGGGAGGGCAAGGGTGGTGGGATTAACGGCAGTCAATATCTGTCTGGGGATGAGGGGACACCCCTTATCAACAAGGGTGCCTGAACGATGCATATTTGGGTTTGTTTGTTTGTTTGTTTGTTTTGTTTTGTTTTTTTGAGTTGGAGTTTCACTCCAACGCCCAGACTGGAGTTCAGTGGTCGCTGCCGGCCACCGCAGCCTCGACCCGCTGGGCTCCGGCGATCCTTCCGCCTCAGCCTTCCGAGTAGCCGGAATTACAGGCATGTGCTACCACGCCCGGCTGATTTTTTGATTTATTGTAGAGATGAGGTCTCGCTGCCCAGGCGGGTCTCGAACCCGCGGGCTCAAGCAATCCACTCACCTCAGCCTCCCAAAGACGCAGGATTACAAACTGAGCCACCGAGCCCGGCTGAATTTAGTTTTTATTCTAAGTAAAGTACAAATTCTTTGTTCCCCTAACTCTGGCACAGATGGAAAGTTCTGGTTACAATTTCAGGAATCTCAGAGATTTAATACCTAAAACACTAATCACCTCATTAAACAACCACTATACGAGGGGGGCCCAAAACCTACAGTTTATTTATTTATTTATTTATTTATTTATTTATTTATTTATTTATTTATTTTTATTTTTTAGTTGGAGTCTCACTCTGTCACCTAGACTGGAGTGCAATGGCCGCACCCGGCTACCGCAACCTCGACCTGCTGGGCGCCGGCGACACTTCCGCCTCAGCCTTGCAAGTAGCTGGAACTGCAGGCACGTGCTACCATGCCCGACTAATTTTTTGATTTATCGTAGAAATGAGGTCTTGCCAAGTTGCCCAGGTGGGTCTCGAACCCTCAGGCTCAGGCAATTCACTCACCTCAGCCTCCCAAGGCGCGGGATTACAGGCTGAGCCACCAAGCCTGGCTAAAAAAAAATTTTTTTTTTTTAGTAGGAGTCTCACTCTGTGTCCAGGTTGGAGTGCAGTGGTACACTCACAGCCACCCCGGTGTCGACCTGCTGGACTCTGGCGATCCTTCCGCCTCAGCCTTCCAAGTAGCCAGAACTACAGGCTCGCACTACCACGCCTGACTAATTTTTGATTTATTGTAGAGACAAGGTCTCGCCAAATTGCCAGGGCTGGTCTTGAACTTGCAGGATTAGGCAATCCACTTGCCTCAACCTCCAAAAGTGCTGGGATTACAGGCTGATCCATCGAGCCTGGCCTATAACAATTTTTTTAAATGATGTTAAGCCCCATACAAATACTGAATCTAGAAATCCTAGAAATCCAGGGATGTTTAAAGTCAGTGTACTTATAGAAAATAAAAGTGAAGCCAGCTCGGTGGCTCAGCCTGTAATCCCGCGCCTTTGGGAGGCTGAGGTGAGTGGATTGCCTGAGCCCGCGGGTTCGAGACCTGCCTGGCCAACTTGGCGTAGACCTCATCTCTACAATAAATCAAAAAGTCAGCCGGGCATGGTAGCGCATGCCTGTAATTCCAGCTATTCGGAAGGCTGAGGCGGAAGGATTGCCGGAGGCCAGCAGGTCGAGGCTGCGGGGGCCGGGAGCAGCCACTGCACTCCAGTCTTGGCAACAGAGTGAGACTCCAACTCAAAAAACAAAAAGAAAAGAAAAGAAAGGTGACTGGGCACGGTGGCTCAAGTCTGTAGTCCCAGCATTTTGGGAGGCCGAGGTGAGAGGATTGCCTGAGCCCATGGGTTTGAGACTAGCCTGGGCAACTTGGCAAGACCTCATCTCTATAATAAATGAAAAAATTAGCTGGGTGTGGTGGCGTGAACCTCTAGGTCCAGCTACTTGGAAGGCTTAGATGGAAGGATCACCTGAGCCCAACA